TTAAACAAATCCAAATAAACTAGGAAGTGTAATGGCTTCAGAAATGTGTAATTCACCCAAGCTACAATATGAAACATCTTGGGTATCAGTCACACATTGTTTTTGGTTATAACTGACAAAATATCCACTAATGAAAAGGTACATGTTACAGAAATATGTTTCAAAATGAAGAAATGTACTGCCCTACATAGAAAATAAGAAAATCAATTATTTCCTGTAGCATGCAGTCTGGAGGTTAGTTCACTGTCTCTGTGACATAACTCAGTATCTAGGCTCTCTTTAACTCTAAACTGCATCATGGAAACCTTTTGGCTTGGCTCACTTGTCTCCTTAAGGTTCTAACATGGTTCCAACACAACAACAGCCAGATTAAGAAGGAACTGCTTGAGAAATGGCCGATTTCAAAGATGTGGCAGGAAAAGTACAAGATGGGTGTGGAGCATGTTATTGTGCCAAATGTAAAATGTGTTTAAAGAATGATGGAACATGTCCAAAGGACATAGCAACCAGTTTGAAGGAGTTTTCTTTGGCCATAATTTGGGACACTTTGAGCATTAAAATAAATAAGGATGTAGAGACTTAATAAACAATTTAATAAAATAGAAATCCATAACTCCAAACTTATGTAAATAAGTGAATTAATAAATGGGGAGAAGACAGTGCTTTTCCTTATAGTAGAATGCTCGTAAACACTAAAGAAATGATTGAGTTAGAAAAACAAACATTTGGCAACTATCATAGTAATAATTAGTTCGATCAGTAAACATCAATGAATACTAAGAAGGAGTGGGTGGAATTTTGATGAAGAACAGGATATTGACATAGTCTCAAAGTCCCTAAAAATACTTATTAAATACAAAGGACAAAAGAGTGACTTTACAATGGAAAAATCTGGCTGATACTGGCATTATCAAGGGTTCAAAATCAACACTAATGGAACAAATCAAAACCCTGTATCATCTGATTGGGTGCAATAGAAAGAAAACAACATCACTTCTGTGGTATTCCTACTGAAAATGCATAACCTGAATCTAATTTCGAAGGAAATAACTGACCAATGCAATTTAATGGATATTTAACTCAACAACGTTAAATGACCTTTAAGCTTCTTAGATGTCAATGTCATGAATGTTCAGGAAAGACCAAAGAACACTTCAAATTGAAGACTAAAGAGACAAGATAACTAAATGGAATGTGTGATCTTAGATTAAATATTTTTGTTATGAAAGACATTAATTGGGACAGCTGGTAACACTTGAATGGGATCTGAGGATTACCTGGTAGAAACACATCAGTGTTAACTTTCTGATTTTGATGGTTGTATTATGGCTATGTGGGAGAATGTCCTTATTTGTAGGAATTATACACAAAAATATTCAAGAGTGATAAAGCATTGTGTCAGCAAGTACTCCAATGGCTCTCTGTTCTCTTCTTGTAACTTTTGTTGTAAGTTTGAAATTCTATCAAAAGAAAAGAAAACAAAAACAGGGCTGTTTACTGCAGTTGTCTCCTTTCATTAAGGGAGAACACTTTTCTAAGACCCTCCCAAAGCAGAAGTCCCAGTGGCTGGTAATAGAGGTGCATGGACTTTCTCCAGCTGCGGAAGAAGCTGGCAAAGCAATTTACATAAAGGAGAGTGGGCTCTTCCTACAAGGAAGAAGGAAGTGGGTGGAGGATGGCAATGTGTAGGCAGCCAGGAGTTTCTGCCTCCATCTGAAATTTTTTGACCTTGGCCATTTTGGAACACAGTGCCATGAACAAATATGAACCATCCCAGAATTCCAGGTTGTTTGTTCTTTCATTTAGTTGCCAGGATGTGTACTAAGATTTGGGGAAACAAATGATTATTCTTAAGAAATTCATAGGGGAAGGCTTTCGTGAACAAATAATTATAGCCCAATAAAAGCCATAGAAGAATTACTGTAAGCCTGGGGAATTATGAGCTTACAGATAGTTGTTTGGGCACCTGAAACACACCAAGGCGAGGGTGAGGCAGGAAAGTCTTCCTAGAGAGTGAGAGGGGTGGGATGGCAGCCCCTCTTCCTGCTGACATGGGAGATAGAATCATGCAAAAGTTAATGTGGATCTTTCCAATTCTGGTACAGAATCCCACTCAGCGATTGCAGCATGGCAGAAGCAGCAATTAAACGCGGTGCGGGGAATTCCAAGCAAAGGACACAGCCTGAGTGATGGTACAGAGGTGAGGAAAGCGGGGTGCACACAGTGACTGCAAGCTGACCATTTGGCTTCTGAAAGGATAACAGGAAGGAAGGAGGGTTGGGGCAGGAAAAGTAAGAAATTTGATTGCAAGGTGAAATCGTTTCAGTTTTTTTCTGTGTGTGCAACAGGGAACCCCTGATTGTTCTTGAAGAGGAGAGTGCAAGATGAGGACTGCGCTTCTGAGCAATTCACCTGAAAGCATGGGTGGAGACGGTGAGTTCCTGTCGGGGAGACTTGTCAGTCTGAGCAGAAAATGTTCAAGGTAAGATATGACTTTGGGGAAGTCATGACTATGATAGAGGGAAAAGGAGGATGGAGAGAAAGGACTAGACTGATGTGAGTACCAGAGATGATTCAGGTGCTCCAAATGCAAGGGTGGGTGTCATTCATAGACACGAGAAAGGCGGGAATGGCTCTGGGTGGTGTCCCATGGGGACTATTGTGGGAGATCACGCCCACCCATGATGGTGTGACCCGCTGGACAAAGTCAACCAGGCATTGTGCTGGGGTTTCAACAGAGAAGAGATCATGTATCTCATGATCCGCCTGTGCAGCCATCACCAGCCCTTGCTTAAAGCTGTTTGAAGGCTACCCCTTGCTCCTAGGACAGAGACCAGTCTTTTGAATTGCCCCAAAACTACAGCAGGCTGGCTCTGCCCACCTCTCATGCCCCAGGCCCACCCCCCTCACCATGCTCTGTGCTTCTGCCACACCAACCTTCTTTCAGTTCCATCCATGGGCCAAGTTCACACTGTATCTCCAATACCAGCAAATAGGTGTTGAATAAACTGGTGGGGCTTCTACCACAGGGCCTTTGCACGTGCCATTCATGTATCCATCTTTAACTGTTGTCCTTTCCCTCTTTGCCAACTTAGAAGCTACCCATCCTCTTTTTTTTTTTTGAAACAGAGTCTCACTTCTGTCACCCAGGCTGGAGCGCAGTGGCATGATCACAGCTCATTGCAGCCTCAACTTCCTGGGCTCAGGTTATCCTCCAGAGTAACTGGGACCATAGGTATACCATCATGCCAGCTAATTTTTGTATTTTTTGTAGGATGGAGTTTTGCCATGTTGCCCAGGCTGGTCTCGAACTCCTGGGCTCAAGTGATCCACCTGCCTTGGCCTCTCAAAGTTCTGGAAATACAGGCCTGAGCCACTAGGCCTGGCAAGACTACTCATCCTTTACAGCCCCATTTAAGTGTCACTTTCCCAGGGGCACCTCTCTTGATATATCTAAGTCCAGTTTACTTGTATTAGAGTAACACAAATCTTCCTTGCATAGTATGTACCGTGGGTGTAATTTTGCATTGACTTGTGAGAGTATTTGCTTGAGGCCTATCTCCCCCACAGATTGTAACATCTATGGGTGTAGGAGTCACTGTTGTTTTTGTGCATGCCGTATCTCCTATATTCAGCATGGGAATTGGAACTCTGCGGTGCTCACTGCATGTCTGTGGAATGATAAATGAATGATGAATGGGTGAATATTTCACTGGTGCTTCAGGAAAGCGCCAGAGAAGCAGGTTATGCTTGAGAAGTACCTTATAGGATGAACAGAATTTCAACAGCCAGAGTTGGCCCTCAGGTAGCCAGGCCACAACTAGCAAAGGCACAGGGAAGGGCTTGAGCAGAGGGAGTTTCTGCATGTTTAGGAGGAATAGGGGAATAGAAATCCAGGGAAATAAAGGGCTCTAGGGCCAGAAAGACAACAAAGCCAACTTTTGGAAGAATTCAAACATCCAAGTGAGGACTTGGTTGTTAACTTGGCAGTCAATGAAGAGCCATGGAGACTGAGTGAAGGAAATGACACACTTGAAACTTCTCTCTGAGAAGATGAACATGACTAGGAAACTGAGGGTGACTAGAGAAAGGAGCTGCGAACAGAAAACTACTGCCTTGGGAGGATATAGCAATGGCGTTGGTCAAACTTATAAAGCACACGAATGGGGGTTTTGTGGGTAAGAGATGCTCAGAGCAAAGTTTGAATGGTGAGGTTAAAGAAACCCGGCAGCTGATGAGAAAGTTCAAGAAAGAAAGCCTTGATGACCAGACTGTAAGCTCCTAGGACTTGTGTCTTTTTCATCCTTATACTCCCAGTAGAAAAAGAGATATGTTTTTCTTAGAAATTGTGGGAAAGAAATTAATGTAAGGGCTGAAAATGTTCAGAGAGACCACAAAAGGGAGATAAAATTTGGCCTAAAGACCTATTCTACTTGGCTCATTCAGTGTTTAGTTGGCAACGTTAAAAATTGAGATTTCTCATAAAACCGCCATTGTTTAATTTTTTAGATTAACTTTTATTGAAAACATTTTAATTCGATTGTTTCAGCATATGAAAAAGTGCCATATTTTTAAAGACCTGCCCACATTAGTCACTGTGTCCCCTGTGGCATCTGTTGGTGGAGGTTAGGTGGCCCCTGTTTGGCAGCTCCCCAGTACTGGTCTTATTCCCAGAGGGGTTCATTCACTATCTTCCTGGGCTCTGAGGGCAGCAGAGTCAGGTCCCTGGCTAAAGAGAACATCAGTTCCCAGCAGGCCACTTTTTCGTCCACCATAAAACATGATATCTTCCTTACATTAGTGATCTGGAATAGGCAGTTGGGGTGTGGGGTTCTGTCCCAAAGCCTACACTCCCGGTGGAAGCGTGATGACATACATTGATAGAGAGGCTCATTAGTATTTTACCCTATTTTCTGCCATCACTGGCATTCAGGGTCGTGGGGTTAAACAGATGTTGCAAAATCATTGCCAAGGTGTAAATAATTAGATAAGGGTGTATGTGGAATTCACAAAATTTTATTGATATGTTTATCATGCCAAAAAGTTTTTTATTTAAAATTCAAATTCCACTTGAAAAAGAGGCAACAAGCGATAGTTGGGATCCCAGCCTGCTCCTGGTGGAGCTCCCGTGTCCACAAAAAAGCACGCACATTCTATAGCTATGCGATTTGATCACTCGGAATTGCATTCTGGAAAACTACTCCCAGAACCCCCTTGCAGAACGCCATTTGTGTCTTTAGTTGGTTGTAGCTGGGAAACAACAACAGAAAGAAAAAGAACTCCATCCTAAGACTTCTTAGAATATTTCTGGTTTTGAAACTACTGACCCACAAGGATCTACCACCGCCCAACCTAGAATATATATATATTCTCACTGAAAAGCAAATCACTGTTTATGTCACTTGCTCACTGTCACATCAGACCCTTAGGATGGTCTTAGTACACCTGGTTCTCCTTCTCGGTGGGATCCTGCGGATTCTGGCTGTGGATGGGCAGCCCTTCAGGAGCGTTTGGACTTGCTGCAAGTTGGGCACAGAAGCTGACACTTGGTGACGATGTACGCCCGGCCGCTCAGCAGCTGCTCACAGCCCTCACAGACAAAGTGCTTTCGGTGCCAGGCCAGGTCTTCCACGCGCTGGTAGTCCTCAGAGAATATTATCTGGAGAGGGAGAAGGAGAAATGCATGACTCAGTTTCTGTCCCTAAGTAGAGATGGTGTATCTAAGACAAGTTATAGGGTGGTGGTTCATCCTATCCTATTCTTGTTTTGACTTTTGAAAGCCTTAGTGGAGAAATCTGGCATAAATTTGAGGCAGTAAAGATAGTATTTGGTGAAGGTTGTGGTTGTATCTTAGCTTCTCAGATGGAATACAAAAATCCTTCCCCATAGGCAGGTTTTACCTAGCATCTGTGATACTCTTTGGGCCAAATCTAAAGTTTAGTTCCAAGATGGGATTACACACCCTGGTTAAGAAAGCTTAGGGATAGATAAGCTGCCAATGACCAGTCGTCAAGAGCAAGAATACAGAGGGTCACTTGGGCTTGGAATGAAGGGACACTTGGAATAGATATATGGTAAGGATCCCCTGAGGCTCAGGAAATGCAGAGGAGCATAATGGTTAATGGGCCTTCTAATACTGGAGTCAAACAGGAACTGGATATGAGTTTTCACTCAAGACATCTACCAGCTTCGTGACTTTGGGAAAATTACTTAATCCTCCTGTACCTCAGCTTCCACATCTGTAAAGTGGGGATACAAATACTTCCCATCCCATAAGGTTCTATGATTGCCAAATGACCGACTACATATGAAAAGCTTAGAATGTTGACTGACATAAAGTCAGGGCTATCTGATTAGCCTTGACCTTTCAGAGCTGCACCTTTCTTAAATGTGAAATGAGAAAAAAATCATGCTTATCTCTCCCTGAAGGATTGTTGTATATAGCAAGTTACTGACCCACTGTAAGCCCTTAATAAATGAGGGAGAATTGTTATTGTGCATTTACTGTTGTCACCTCAAAAATGAGGCTCCAGGGAAGGCCTGTGACAGTCCTTTTCCTTCATAATTTCACTTAATAACAGAGTTATTAGGTAAGAGGACCATAGGGCCTTAATTTCATATGGCGACCAATACGTAGAAGGTGGTAGAAAATAGATGTTGGCTCAATATAAAGAAGACATTTCTAACCTTCATATGTGCCAAAGATGAAATTAGTATATTGCCTGCAACCAAAGGCATGCAAACGGTACTTACTATGATCATAATTAGTATTTCCACTATTAATACACCTTAGAGTTCCTTTCGTCAAACCAGTATCAGAGACTTGAACCCCTTTCATAGCATCTCTATGATATCATATTGTATTGCGTCACATTAATGTTAACTCTCATATTATGTTATAGTATATTATCGTAAGATAAACAGCAGCTGCCATTTATAAGTTCCTAGGTCAGGCCCTGTGCCAAGCATTTTCATGCATTATCTCATTTGTCCTCACAGCCACTCTATGGGATGGGTGCTGATCTCAACCTGTTTTATAAGCAGTAAAACTGAGGCTCAGCTGAGGCTCTGGAGTTAGGTAACCACCTGATTATAATAATAGATGCAGATACAGGTTTGAACATAGGCAATGCTTCCTGGCACACCCTGCTATGTTCTGAGTACTTGCTAAGTGCTAGGCATTGTGCCAAGGACAGGATTTATTGGCATTACGTCTGACCCGTCTCAACAATCCCATGGTTGTTTGTCTCATTTTGCAGATGAGAAAATGAAGGCTAAGAGCATGCAGTGAGGCCTGATCTCAGTTTCCCAATCTGTAGAATACATCATCCACAGAGCTATAATCCCCTTGGCCTCTGGGCTGTTAACCTCAACAGTGTCCCTCAAGCCCCCAACCTATCTGGCCGCTATCTCCCACCTCATCGCAGCCGGAGCACCGGGGCCGCAGACTCTCACAGTAATGGCGGCCGCACCAGGGTGCACCATCCTTCCAGAAGTAGATGAGATCCACTAGTGGCTCAGAGCACTTGGCACACACAAAGCAGGTGGGGTGCCATTGCTTGCTGTAGCCTGCCCTGTCCGAGTAGACCACAGGGCTGTCAGGAGGGGCCACTCCCTTGCAGAGCTCGCAGACCTGGAAGGACCACAGGAGACAAGAAGTCAGGAGAGCACAATGACATGGGTTCAAATCCTAGCTCCAGTCTCTCTAATTCCTGGGTGACCTTGGGCAAGTCACTATACCTCTCCATGCCTCAGTTTTGCTGTCTGCAAAGTGGCACAATACTATTGCTTACCTAACAGGCTATTAATGAGGTCAAAATCAAGTTATTTATTTAGCACAGTGATTTCCAAATTGTTTGGTCTCAGTACCCTTTATATTCTTAAAAATTATCAAGACCCCACAGAGTTGTTTTTTTTTTCATGTAGGTAACAGCTATTGATATTTGCCATAAGAGAAATTAAAACTGAGAACAATTTAAATATTTAGTTATTCATTTAAAAATGACAATACTAAATCTGTAATACATTAACATACATATTTTGTTACTAAGATAACTATATCTTTCAAAACAAAAAAAATTAGTGAGAAGAAAAATTTAAGACATTATTTTACATTTTTGCGAATCCCTTCAACGACTTGCAGAAGACTGCTGGATTCCCATAACGTCTTCTGCAGTCCATCGTTTAGTTGAAATATATGAAGAAAACCTGAATTCACACTGACAAAAAGTTGGAAAAAGGAGGGAGGTGCATTTTAAAAGCACTTACAGATAGCTGTGGATATTCTTCTCTGATGCTATATTAAAATTTGGCAGAGGATAGTTTCTCAAGTTAGTTGCAGTGTGAAATCTGAAAACATATCAGTGGACCTCTCATACTTGGTTACATTAAAACCTGTTTGTCCACCTCGAATGGATCTTTTACCCCTGCATGAATATTTTTATTTATTTATATTTTTCTCCTTTATTTTAAAATTTCGGTGGTTTTTGCATGAATATTTAAAAATAATATTTAATTAACAATATTTTTTGTCTAGAAGTGGTGACTCATGCTTTTAATCCTAGCACTTTGGGAACCTGAGGTCGGAGTATCATTTGAGGCCCGGAGTTTGAGACTAGCCTGGGCAACATAGCAAGATCCCATGTCTACAAAAAAATTTAAAAATTAGCCAGTTGTGGTGGTGCTTGTCTGTCGTCCCAGCTACTCAGAAGGCTGAGGCGGGAGGACTGCTGGAGCCCAGGAGTTTGAGGCTGCAGTGAGCTATGATCATGCTACTGCTTTCAGCCTGGGTGACAGAGCAAGAGCTTGTCTCAAATAATATAAAAATAATATTTGAGTAGTAACAGAATTACAGAAAAATTGCAAAAATAGTACAGAGAATTTCTACATACTCCACACTCAGTTTCTTGAGTTCTTCACATCTTACATTAATAAGGTATGTTTGTCATAATTAACCAATATTGATATGCTGTTATTAACTAAAGTCCAAACTTTATTCAGGTGTTCATAGACTTTACCTAATGTCCTTTTTCTATTCCAGGATCCCACGTTACATTTAGTTGTCATGTCCCCTGAAGCTCCTCCTGGCTGGGACAGTTTCTCAGACTTTGTTTTTGGCCACCATGGCAGCTTTGAGGAGTACTGGTCAGGTGTTATTCAGAATGTTCCTCAGTTGGGATTTGCCTGATGTTACTATCATGATTACATTGGGAGGAAGATGACAGGGGCAAATTGCTCCTCTCGTCACGTCCTACCAAGGGTACATACTGTCGCCCTCACTTGTTACTGTTGGGGTTGATCTTGACCTTCTGGTGGAGGCAGTGTTTGTCAGATTCTCCACCGTAAAGTGACTCTTCTCCCCCTTTCCATATTATCCTCTTTGGAAGCAAGGCACTAAGCCTTCCCTGTCTAAAGAATGTTCCATCTCCTCCAGGGCCAAGTATCTACCTAAGTTATTTGGAATCCATGCATGATTTTGGCAGATCCCCCAAAAGGACTCCATGCATCTTAGCTAACATTATTTTTTAAACACCTATGCAATTATCTAATTTATATCTGTCTTCTCCACTAAGTGGTTAGCTGCAGAGGGCAGGGAGAGGCTGCTCGGTTGCTGCTCTGACCCAGGACCTTCTACTGGGCCCTGCACACATAACTTCCCCATGGATAGTTGCTGAATGAAGGAATGCTCTACCCTGCCTTGAGGCCTTTGCCCTTGTTGTTCAGGATGTCTGGTACATTGTTCCCATTCCAGCTTGCTTAACTCCCTTTCATTCTTCAGATCTCAGACTTAAAAATCTTGTTTAGGAAATTTTCTCTGACTTCTCTCCAGGGGCAATTGAGTCCATACTAATGCTTCTCTGCTTACCTTTCTCTGTATGGTTTTTTGATACATGTTCCTTCCACACTAGATGGAAGTACCTTCGAAGCAGGAGCCACATCCAACTATGCTTGCTTTCACATCTCCCCAGTGCCTGGCACATAGTAGCTGAATAACAAACATTTGGGAAACCTCTGCCCTGCAACCTCATACTTCCTACTTAGGGGGCAACAGATGAATATGGAAGATACTAGCAGATGATGCATCTGTCTGCATCTCAGAGATAGGTTTAGACTAAGTGCAGCAGAGAGTTGGGCTCCAGAGACAGTTGTGGAAAGTCCTTGGGAGCTTTCAGGGCACTCTTGCCTTTCAAGGGCTCATCCATGTTTACTGAGCATGTACTATGTAGCAGGCCCTGGACTAGATGCTGGGGATACAGCAGTGACCCAGGCAGAGTGCCAGAGCCCTCAGGGAAACTGGGGCTGTGTGTGTATGAAGGTAAAACATAAATATGTAAACAAATAGATGAGATAATCATGGAGTGTGATAAATACCAGGAAAAAAATCACAGGGTAAGGGAATGGAGAGTGAGAGACTTTAGGGGTAGATGGCAGGGGCCACCTTAGCAGGAGAAGCCTCTCTGAGGGATGAGGAGCTAAGGGTCAACTACGTTCCTATTTATATCATAGCAACCCTGTGGGTAGGAGATGCAGGTACATAGCAAATGCACCCATTTTATAGCTAAGACCAGTGAGGCCCAGGGAGACATAATAGCTAGTCAAGGGACATAGCCATGAAACAGAACTGGGATTCAAACTTCAGCCCGTGACCCTATGGGGCTTTCTATGGAAACTGAGCTGGGTTGGGTGGGAAGACTAAAGTCAGGGAATTATCTGTAGGTCTAGGAGGGCTCCCAGGAGAATGCATTCTGGCATGACAAAGGACAAGCATGCCCAATAGCTAGAGGTGAGAAGCAGCTTCCCTACAGGGTCTCTCAGCAGTTATCTCATCCTTTTTCCATCTGGGGCTCCTTTATCTGTCTTTTACTGCCAGCAACATTTTCACTGGCCTGCTCAGAACTCATGACAAGGTGGACCTCAACTCATGTTGTTCCTCAGCTTCAGTTAGGATTAGGGCTTCATGGGGAGGGTGAGTTTGCCTGGGAGAAGTTCTTGGTGAGAGCTCTAGATTTCTGTCTTATGCCAGTTCCCAGGAGCAGAGAAAGTTGCCAAATGTTCATTCATTTACTGGTTCATTCAGGTATTCATCCATCACACATTTATAACTTGCCTGGAACTTGACATTCTCAATCCACGCAATCTTTTGGGCCATTTTAGTTATTCCCTGCTCCTCTAAGCCACGATGATGATGATGGAGACGACAATGACTGCCATGTCCCTACGGCATGTCTGCATCCAGCACTGTGCTCAGGACTTTGCTCTCATTACTATTACCCCTTACATAAACCCAAGAGAGTTATTTCTCCTAGAGTTATTTTTCTATTAGAAAAATCATTATTTTTTTCTCCTAGAAATGGCAAAACTGAAGTTCAGGGAGATTCAGTGATTTGCTCAATAATGCACAGCTGACGGGAGGCAAAGCTAGGATTTGAACAGAGGCCAAACCTGACTCCAAAGCCAAAGTTGTTTCTACTCCATCATGTGGCCTTGAGATCCGGCGTCAGCAAGCTACAGCCGGTAGCCAAATCCGGCCACTGTCTGTTCTTGCAAGCCCCATGAGAGTGAAGACTGGATTTTACATTTTCCCTCCAATTCAGTGAAATGTTTTCTCCCAAGAAAGAGTTCTACTTTCCTCATTAGTAGACTTATTTTGGGGAAAAAAACCCTGTGCTAAATTATTATTATTACATTTTGAATTTCACACACACACACAAAAAACAAAAAACCATGGAAAGTTGTTTCCTCTCTTGTTACATAAAGTCCCCACATGATATCACAATTTTGGCTCTTGGCTCACATCTCCTAAAATATTTACCACCTGGCCCTCCATAGAAAGTGTTTGCTAACCCTGGCTTTAGATGCTAATTTAAACTTACTAAGCATTAACTATATTTCGGCCCAAATAGAAATATTTATTGATATGCCACGTGAAGATGGGGAAGCATATGAGTCTCCACACTTATATTCTTAACTTATATACTTTGATTACATACTTAATGCACTCATATATTGAAGAGGAAATTAAAATGGTGAAAATTAGGAAAAGAACACTGAATAACAAAGAATTCCAAGTACTGATAGCAGTTTCTGAGCATAGGCACTCTTGAATGACTGCCTATATAAGGAATGTGTTTGGTTAACCAGATATGTCTTGAATGGCTCCTGACTGTGCCTAATAATGTTCCTTAGAACATGCTAGATTTGTGGTTTCAGTTACATCCCCAAGAATGAATTGTGTGAGTCGTTCACCCAAAGGAAAACCATGTTCCTCTTCACATGACCGGGACCCAGCTGGCCTGGAGCCCATCAGGGGGTCTAGACAAAAACCAGCGATCAATCATCATCTACTTATTTTCACCCTTCCTTCTGCATAGCTGGGAACTGTAAACTCTTTGATTAGGGCGGTCTGAGTTCAAAGCGAGTTTTCTGTCTAGCTTCTCAGTTCTACAGAATGAAATTTCCAGTCCTTTTCCTCCCACAAAAAAGGGACTTCGTGTCAGTTCACCCAACTACTCCCCATCGGGTAACACCATGATATATCAGTGGGGTTTCCCACTCCACATTTTCAAATATGAATTGACATGAAAGCAGGGGAAGGGAGAGGGATAGAAATGCACCTGGACTGATCTGGGGAGT